TTTCATGGCCCATCATGATTTGTTTTAAAAATGGAACATTTTTGTAGACAAGTGCATGTGGAAATAACTGTCAAGAAGGTGTTTTCTTGCTTATGTGGAACCTAAACATCAAAGCGATCAACATAACCAAGTTGGTGCAAATGATTTTCTATGCTTGAGTTGGATATTTTGAGTATGCCAGCTAGCTCCCATGTGGTATGTTGATTGTTCTTAATCAATGTCTCGATTTGATCACTATCAACTTCAACTGGTCTGACTGTGGAGCATCGTCCAGCAAGAAATCTCCAACACGAAACTTTGCAAACCACTTTTCACACAATCAATCACAGCACCTTATCTATACACAAAATTTTTTTTGCGTGTCAGTTGCATTTGTACCTTTTTTGAAATAATGAAGCATAATATGCTGAAAACATTGCTTATTTTCTTTCATCTTCAATATTAAAATGGCTACACAAAAATTCACCAATTGATATTTTTAAAAAATGCATGCTGATATGAACGCTATCACAATACAATCTAACAAAGTTTTGTTGAATGAAGTTTAAAGACAACTAAGCACTACTAGAGCCTTCTTATGGAAAACACCAAACTCTTCAGCCAACCTAGTATTTCCTGACCTACGTGGACATGCAGGGCTTGCCTTTGATTTTCTACCCTGCTTTGTGCTCTCTTCTGTAGGGAGAGGCTGGGCTAGCTCTGGGGCCAACTGCCCTTAAGCCCTAGGCATGCTGGACCTTGGGTGGGGGATGAAGAGTGTTCCAGAAGAGGGACCTGTGGTGGCAGAAGAACCAGGAAAATATAATACTGTGTGTTATATTATACAGTATTATTATACATACAATATTGTACTCTACATTTCAAAGTGTAGAGTACAAAGTGAAAAGTTTGTACTCTAAAAAGTTTGTAGAGTGAAAAGTTTTCATCACAAGAAAAACACTGCGTGACAGACTGTGTGGTGATGGATGTTAACTAGAACAATGTGTAAGTGTCCAGGCATTATTCAGCTGTATACCTGAAACTAATATTGTCAATTAAATCTCAAAAATAAAAGGTGGCCGGGTCCTAGGGGGAATGTCCCCTTACCACTCACTGCTCCTCTCCTGGACTGTGAGCGTAAGGTAGCACAGGTACCCCTTGCAAACCTCCTTAGGATGGCATCCCACAAGTGCTTGGTGGGGGAGTCAGGCAAGCAGGGTGACGTGGGCAAAGGACAAAAGCAGGAGGGGAGTTGGCAGATGTAGGCGCCCCAGGAAAGAGGGAAGAAAAGGAGCAAGGGAAGGGATACTAGAGAACTGTGGATGCTGGGGCTTTCCCTGTAGCTTCTGGATACCCATGGGGAGGGAGGGCTGCCTCTGACTGGTACTCCTGAGGGGATGGTCGGTCCTCGTCCATGGACTGGGCCAGGGACCATGGACCGTAGACCACAGACCACAGGCACCTGGGGGCAGACCTGGTGCAGGTCTGTGAGCAGCCATCCGCTTTTTCACCTGCAGCCCTGTGCCCAGGTTAAGCACTTGGGGGATATAGGTGGCATAAAGGAAGGGTGGTCTGGGGACTGGTGCAGGGACTGTGAGGGGGACATAAAAGGGGTAGGTTGTGTCGGCGACTGAGGATATGACAACCCTCTTAAGGTCCAAACAGAACAAATATTATCTTCTGCATGTTCCGATGGCTCAAGTTGGGAGCCCTGCTTCTGGGAAGTCATAGAGCACCTCAGTTCACATCCCAGAAGAGATGCTACTCGGGATTTGAAGCTGGTGCCCCAGGTCCCAGAACACTCTCCTACTGGCCCGACATCACATACGAAGTGTCTGTCCCGGTCCCAGCTGTGTCCCTTGGAGCAGTGGCATCAGCAACCCACTAATACAGGTTACAGCGTGGGTGAGCCTTGCAAACACTATGCTCAGTAAAAGCTCATCACAGGGCACTTATTGTGTGCTTCCACTGACATGAATGACCATGAGGGAAGTCTACAGGGACAGAAGTAGACTAAACGGCTGTGTAGGGTGGGGGCGGGGGAAAAGGGAAGTGACTGGTAATGGGTACATGAAAATGTTCTAAAACTAAATAGAGGCAAACTTGCTGGTATGAATATACTAAAAACCACTAAATTGTACATTTTAAAGTTATTAAAATGTTGAATTTTATGTTAAGTAACTTTATCTCAAAAAAAAAAAATCTACCTGCAAAATAAAAGTATATATGCTTAAGCCCCTCCCCAGACCAACAAAGTCTAGGGGAAAGGGGCAGCAACCTGCTCTAACCAGTCCTCTAGGTAATTCTGACACTACCAAGTCCAAGAACCATTCAACTGATCCAATCCCCAAAAAGCCCAAACCCCACTGTGGCCACCATTGTCTTCAGGGGTGAGGCATTCCCGTGCATATCCCCTCTTCCACTTGCCTGAATCATGGCAGGGCACCACCTCCTCCTGGAAGCCCCCTCCAGCTCCCAGACTCAGTCAAGTACAACCAGCTACTGAGCGGTCCTACCATCCCAGGGAGGGTACCCACATATCCACATGATGCAGTGAGAGCGCAGGGCCTGCTGGTGAAGTCCAAGGGGTGCTCCCCAAGGCCAGGTTCTACTCTGGACCCTGTGAGCTCCATGCAGGCTACAGGGCCAGCAGTTTCTCCAGCTCTCCCTTCCCCAGATTGTAGCCCTGGGCCTGGCTAGAGATCCCTAGTGTGAGCAGCCCCAGAAGCCCTGCCCACTCTGGCTGCAGGGCCTCTTCCCCAGGACAGCCTGGGACCTCTATGCAGGGTTAGGAGACCCCAGAACCCACACTAGGTGCTGATCACCATGTCCTCCTCCACCGGCCAGAAGCAAGGTGTGGGTGGGAGAGTCCCCGAGAACACAATAACTGGGGTGGATCTAAGGGGCCTAGAATCTACGACCTTGGGCTCCTGGAGGACCTTACACGTTGGCTCTGTCCACTTACCTCTCCTCAGGGACTGCAGTGACATCCCCACCTCTTTAAATAAAAACTTATTTCCCACATTTAAAAAATTTTATAGAGAGGGCTCAAGATGGGGTGGGTCCCCTCTGGGCCCAAGCCCCCTCATTGTTCATGGGTGACCTCCTCTTGGTACCCTCTGTGCCATGCACCACTCCCCAGCTTCCATCTGGGAACTCCCCTCTGCTGGGACCCATGAGGGCCAATGGGGGTTGTGTCATCCTCAGGGCAGCCTGTGCCATGTTGTGCATTGCCCCCATCAGTCTGACCTCCTCTGTGCCCACTCAGAGCACAGGACCACTGTCCACAGCTGTACCGGCACCCAGGAGCTTGACGAGCACTTAGAGCCCATGAGACCCAAAGGCCTGGAGTGCACCCTTAAGTGGTGGGTGGGTACCTTCAGGACTAGGGTTGGAAGAGCTGGGCAACGAAGTCTGGATCCCATCCTCTCAGCACAAGGGCTTGGACCCTGTGGTCCTGGATCAACTGGTCAGAGGCCAGGTTTGCCAGGAGCAGATGCAAAGCCCCTCCAAGCCCTTCCAGGGCTGCCTTGACCTCAGACCCACCTGCCTTCTAGCTGGGACCCCAGGACTACTTCTAAATCCAGGGACATCTCTGCCTTTTCAAAACTACCATCCCTCCACGCACAATACATGAGTATGTTTAATGTTACTCAACTGTACTTACAAATAGCTAACAATAAGTTTTACATCTATTTTACTATAATAAAAAGAAACCACACCCCTCCAGGGGATGAAGGAGATGGGAGATACTAGTACAGTCTAGTATACTGACTGTGCACCTCATACCCACCCACCCACACCACCTGAGCTGCAGTGCCTTCTGCCAGCTTCAGGCCAGTTCCTGCCTGTCACAGGTCAGGTTGTACAAGTGAGTCAGGAATCCACAACCCCAGCTCTCATTCCCTTTGCCTCTCCCCTCCCATCCCAGGACCACCCTTAACCCACTCACAGCTTTCCACCAATCTGTGTCCACTTCCCAAACCCAGAGAGGGCAGCATGCCTCTCTACCCAGCTAGCGTGATGTCCACACCAAGCAGAGTCTCCAGTGAGGTTGCTTTTGTTCTGGTCCAGCTTAAGCTGCAGGCAGGGGTAGTGCCCTGGGTGGAAGGACACCCTCCTGACATTGCACTCCTTCCCCAGAGAAAAGCTATGTCACAAGCCAGCCGGGCAGTTCACCTGTCTACATATCTTCTTAGAAGGAGACAAACCGTGGCAGAGGATCCCAGAGCAGGACCATCAGCCACATTATGGTGCTGGTAGCCACCAGATCCAGACCCAGTGAGTGACCACTGAGCCAAGAAGTCTTTGCACAGAGAGTGTGGAGAGGACTATTTTCAAAACATGGCCACCAGAAAAACTTCCAAATATAAACCCCAAAACCTCCCTGAAGTGAAAAAGGGAAAGAGCTCCCAGTTATTCTTCCAGAAGGGCTCATTCTGGTCTCAATACAAAGAACTGAGTAACAATGGATACCACCACTGACCCTCCTCGAGTGAGTCAAATCGCAACCTCATCTCCGTCCTCTGAGGACCTCGTTGCTGTCTACAGAAGATGTCGTGTGGATACTGTCCAAGGGTCTTTCTCTCTTTGCCCCAAATAACTCCAAAAGTGGAAACTGTAGGTAGCTCCCCTGAACTACAGTGCCAGGTTGCAGCCATGCTAACAGCAGATCAGACAGATCTAAATTCCTAAAGAAATGTGTGCAGATGGGGTACCTCCCTCCTCCTTAGTGGAGCCTGTGGTCTGCACTGAGGGGTGGAGCCAGGCTGCTCAGACACTGAAGAAAGGACAGAAGCAGCCAATCAGTGGACAGCTGGGCACACCAGGCTCCAGTCATTAGGAAAAGGGGAGGTGGAGGGTGTTGGATGCCCAAAGTCAAAGAGAAGTCCAACGGTTAAGTCACAATATCTGAAGGTAAGCAAAGCTCCCTGAGCACTCACTGAGTCACCACCACCTGTGGAAGGCGGAGGTGAGGTGTCTAGACCATAACAAGGACAACAGAGACTCCACGGCAGCAGTCAGGAGGCAGTCTGTCAGATTTATTTATTCCTACTAAACGTAACCCAAAAACACAGGAGCAATTTTGTACATCTCTAGAAACTCACAGCTAGCTCCAAAACAATAGAAATTTTAAACTACAAAAGATGAGTTGTATTCAGCAAATATAAAGGGTAACTTCAAGCTGTGTCGAACATTTACCAGACTATTTACAGTGCCTGGGCACAGACTCAGATCTCGCCAGCCTCCTTCTCCTCCAATGTCTTCCCGTTGGAGCTCTCAAGCCTCCAGTCGGCGGCCCGGCGCTCACTCCGCCCTCGCTCCCAGGACTCCTCCCTTGATGCCTGCTCTCTGGAGAACCTGGGAAAAGGGAACAGAGACTCAGCAGAAGCTGATGTTTCCCTTCTGACTGTCTCCTCACATGCCAACAACTTGGACCCTCAACACCAGGGAAGGCCAAGACCCACCACACCTGGGAAGGCTCCTGGACAGTCCTGAGGGCAGCCAGGGCTGCCATCTTGTGCCCAAACCACAGCCACCAAAAAGTGACATTTGCAAAGATTTCTAGTAATAGCTATTAATATTAATGAAGCAAAAGAAAATACAACAGAGGTCCACAACTGGGATATGATCCATTATGTAAAAACACAGTGAAAAGAAGTGCTAACAGTAGTTACGAGTGGTGTGTTTTTTTTTCACTGTAGAAAAACCACAATGGAGGTAAAAAGGGCCTGGCCAGGATATAAATCTCAGGGGCTCTGTGTATCCAAGTGACAGTGAGCAGGCAGCTCCAAGCACAGCAGGCAACCAGTGGGGGCTGTCCCCGTGTATAACCACTTCCACCGCATCTCAACTGTCCCATCCCTGAATCCATCTGCTGCTCTTAGCTAAGGGCTCCCAGTGCTCTGGGCCCCATTCATGACTCCTTGAGGCCCCAACACTCATTCCCACAGATACCCAGCCAGTCTCCTGAGCAACAGGTAGGGCCAACAGGCTCAGGCCCTGATGACAGATCCCTCCAGACCCTGGGAACACAAAGAGAAGGGGCTCACTCCTGGTTGCAGCTACTGAAGAAGTCAGAGTAGTTACTTGTATTTCGCACTCCGGTCCCTGGAAGCCCGGCGGTGGCCCCGGCTGTGGCTCCGGGAACGACTGCGGTGGCGTCGGTGTCTGTCTCGGGACCAGGACCGGGAAGACTTTCGTCGTTCTCTGGAAGTAGATCTTGACCGCCTCCGACGCCGGTCCCGGGAACGTGACCTGCAGTGGGTGACCAGAGGCTCTGAAGGCTCTGAAGGCCCCACCCCAAACACCCTCTTCTCTCAGCACATTCTGCTTCATAGTTACTGACACCTCCCCACCCTCCCAGTTAGAATGTAGGTCCACAATAGTCCTACCAGTTAATCACTGCTCAAAAAGAATTATAGCCAGACCCTTCCCACCAATGCTTCCCAAAAACATTTTGCCAGGATATCCTAGCCACCAGAAGACCTCAGTGGTGTCCTCTCATCTTCCCTCTCATTGACAGAAATCTTTCTGCTGCACCAAACCCCAACCAACCCAAGAGATGTGGCTTGAATCTCGCCTTGTATCCATGCCCTGCACAAGCCAGGTCTACCCACCAGATAATAACTGTGAAGTTATAAAGGTTAAGTATTAAGAAAAACACCTAAGGAAAAGAACATTTGACTTGAGAACTCTTAAATGGATTTAGAAACCTACCTCCTGCGATCTCTGGTTCTTGATCCAGACCTAAAATAAAACAAAAAATGAAAAATTTCTCCAAAACAGCCCATCCCTCACATCTAAGGGGAGGTGCCCCAAATCTATGAGATGAAGGAGGGAAGGCTTCCCACAGAAACCTGTGGTCTTCAAGCCCCTCGCTCACTCTCAGACTGGCAGGACCAAGTGTCGATGCTCACAGATCGAGGCCTATCCCCAACCCTCTGCTCCTAGCTGCTTTCTGGCAAAGGGACAGGACCAGCCCCATGTCCACTAACTGGTCTTTAGAGCAGTATCATAGCTACGCACACAGTCCCCCAACAGACACAAAAGTTAAACAAAAGTCTCAAGTGTTAAACATAGGCTCACTGCCACATAAGGGTCACATGAGCTCCTTGGGAAATAGTATATAATCAGTAATCCAAAAAAATACACACTGCAACAGGATCTCATTTTACAGTGTTCTACAGCTGAAACTTACATGATTGCCACCAGTATGTGCTGAGGAGGAAGTGACAAAAGACACTCATAAACTAGGTGTCTTGAGGTGATTTGATAAAGGCTCTTGGAAAGTAGTTTCTGTAACACATACTAATATTTATGTATTAAATTTGTCCCCAAAATCCTAAGGAATAGTATATAAAACACTCAAATATATACAAAGATGATCTTTAGAGTATTTGTTCAAACAGTTTTTAGGATAGGCAACAAAAGCAAAAATAAACAAGTGGGACTACATCAAACTAAAAAACTTCTGTACAGCAAAGGAGACCATCAAAATATAAGAAAATATTTGCAGCCCTGGCTGGTGTGGCTCAGTAGACTGAGCACCCGACTATGAAGCAAAGGGTCGCCGGCTGGATTCCCAGTCAGCACATGTCTAGGTTGCAGGACAAGTCCCCAGGAGGGGACACGTGAAAGGCAACCATGCATTGGTGTTTCTTTCCCTCCCTCTCCCTCCCTTCCCCTCTCTCTAAAAATAAATAAACTCTTAAAAAAAAAAATCTACAAATCATATATCCGATAGTGGCTTAATATCCAGAACATAAAGAACTCCTATAATTCAAAAGAAAAAATTCCAATTAAAAAAATGGGCGGAGGATTCCAAAGACATACAAATACCAAAGGGGACATACAAAGCTGCTCAATTCACTAGTCACCAGGGAAATGCAAATCAAAACCACAATGAGACATCACCTTCAGAATGGCAATCATCAAAAAGACATTCAAGTGTTGGCAAGAATGTGGAGAAAAGGAAACCCTGACACACTGTTGGTGGGAGTGTATTGATAGATTAGTACAGCCACTATGGTAACCAATAAGGAAGCTCCTCAAAGAATTAAACCTAGCACTACCAATGACCCAGCAAATCCACTTCTAGGCAAAGTACTCCCTCTTCCCTTAGTTTCATTTTCTTTGGTTTCAGTTACCCACAGTCAACCTCAGTCTGAAAACATTACATGAAAAATTCCAGAGATAAGTAAGTTTTAAATTGCACATGGTTCTGAGCCAATTATGGAATCTTGCAGCACCTCACTCCATTCTAGAAAGCACCCATTTGTCTAGTGTATCCATGCTGTAAACATTACCCACTTGTTAGTCACATCATAGCCATCTTGGTTATCAGATCAACTGCTGAATTATGGCAGGGCTTGTGTTCAAGGCACCTTTCTTCTACTAACTAGTGGCCACAAAGAGCAAGAATAGTGATGCTGGCAATTTTGGATGCGCCAAAGAGAAGCCATCAAGTGTTACGTATACATAGGAAAAAAACCACATACACAAGGTTCAGTACTACCTATGGTTTCACGCATCCACTGGGGGTCTTGGAATCTATCTCCCATGGAGAAGGGGGTACTACTACTGTATTTACCTAAATGAAATGAAATCACTATCTCAAAAAGATACCTGCAACCCCAACCTAGTGTCTACTGAAACATGCATGAATAAAGAAAATGGGATACACATACATAAGGGAATGTTATTTGACCAAAGGTGGAAATCCTGCCATTTGTGACAACATGGAACATGGATGGACACTGAGGGCACACTGAAGGCATTATGCTAAGTGAAATAAGCCAGACAAAGACAAATACTGTATGATTTCACTTATATGTGGAATCTAAAAAACCTCAGATAGATAAGGAAATAGGGGGACGGGTGAATAAAAAGGGTGAAGGTGAGGGGAAAACAGAATATTCAGTTATTACACATCACTGTAAGGACATATTGCTGGGGGACGATCTCAGAGATCAGGTGAATGTTCTACAGGTGCTAGTGCACACAGGCACAACCAAAACCACAGTGGTCACCTGTGTAAAAAGGGATTTGCATGTTTTGCTCAATCCATTTTTATACTCTTGTGAGTCTCTTTATAATCAGAATCTGTCAGGTAATCAAAATAATGAAAAGAAACACAAAATACACAATAAATATTCATTTGTTCTTTCTCACTTATGCACTGAGAAATTCCTTCAGCGAAGCCCAGTTGCTGGGCATTTCCAGGACAATGAGCTGTGCCCAATAGGAGTTACTTCTGGCTCAAGTCTCTTCCCTGAACTCGGACCAGTCCCAACATCTCTAGCTTGCATGTCTCTTAAGCATCTCAAACCAAGTATGGCCAGAACCAAACTATGCTCCCCACATCCTCCTTACCCCAATACATTGCTTCCAGTCTTCCCCACCTTCATAAGTGGCCACAAAAGGCCAGAAACCACGAGGCCAACTTCATTCACCCTTTGCTTGCCTCACAACAGACTACCAACAAATCCTATCAGCTCCCCAGTACCCCCACAGCAAGATAAGGCAGTGTGACAAATACATGCTCCTCCCTGTCCTGTTTGCTAAGTGCTACATCCACAGGAGTCAGGGTGTGGCAGGTTCCTCTTCCTCTTCTACTCTTTAGCTCTTCGGAGGGTCTATACCTTCACAGATAAGAATTGGGTCATCAGAGCTCTTATGCAGCTGAAGATGGCCTCACAGGTCTTCCTGGGCCAGCAAAGACCTTAATGGAACTGAATGTGCTGCGATTTTGCTTACTTTCTTTTAATGGTGACTTAGATACCTAGCAGACCTCAACTGTTAGTTACCAACAACACTGCAAGGTAAGGAGTCAGGGTTTCCTTAGGCACATATGCTATCATGGACTCACCTCCTGCTGAGCCGCTCCTCCCGCTCCCTCTCTTCTCGCCTCCTCAAGCGATCCTGATTTCTCTTCTCCTGCTTTTCTGCCACGGTTTTCTAAATAAGTGAAAAATTGGCAAATGAGAGCAGAGCAAGTTACACCAACTAGAGTGTGAATATTGTTTAACAAAGCATGCGTATATGATCTCAGTATTGGTAATTTTGAAAAAATTGAAGAAAATCTCTTAAAAAATAAGAACATGATTTAAAAAATTCTTTTACAATGAAAAATGGAAAACTCATTTAAAAATGCTTTATCATTACATTTTATACAGTCAGTGACAAAATGCACATTCTAAGGGGTGCAGTACTTACTTCTAAGTCACAGGAAATTTATCATATCGCTTCAAAAATCAATCCACAAAGTTAGTTTTTTTTTTTATCCAAATGAGACTCCACCAACCACGTGGTAAAAAAGAACTCAGGTGTCTGACCAAACACATCTTGTTGTTGGGAGCCAAGCTCCTGCTGCCAATAAACAGCTTGTTCATTGTCAGATGCTAAGTGCTACAATGACTTCAGACCTGACCTCACAGGGACAGCAGGCCAAGAGAAGTGGACCACGAACCTCCGCAACTGGCTTTCAACACCAAACTTAACACATGGCTCACCAGGCTTGATTGTGAACCCAACAGAAAAGAAAACACAACAGGCAGGAGCAGGCCTTAGGGAACTGTACCACTGGTACACAATCACCAGAGCTCAGCACAAAGCACTATGTCCAATCTGCACATCCCCCATACCCAACACCTTTCAAAGCCTTTCAATGGCCTGATCTGACTAGTGAAATTAAGTCCTGAAGGAAGTCAGAGTTAGTGAGACAAGCAGCCACCAGTCTTCCTGTGCTCATGAAGGCATGAAGGATGGTCTTATATCTCAGTGTAGACTGGAGCCTGGTCATGTCCCCAGGAAGAGAAGGCACAGCAAAGTCTGGGAGAGAGGCTAGTTCTCGTTCCCCAAACATTTTCCAGGTAGGAGAACCTTCCTAACTGACACCCCCAGCTCTACAGCTGGAACTCCAATCACATTGGGCCTGGAGCAGGCACACACAATGGACTGGTTAAGGTTAATGATCTAAGTCTCAGCACCTTTGTTTCTATGCATACTCTTCCTAGGTGGATATGACTGCAAAGAGACCTATAGTCTGGCATCATTTCCTTTCCAAACCCTTCCTACTCCTTAAAAAACTACCTCTTCCTCCCTTGACAAAGAAAGCCTTACCCTTTTTTTTTTTAAGGTTTTATTTTATTTTAGCAAAGAGGGAAGGGAGGGAGCAAGAGAGGGAGAGAAACATCATTGTGTAAGAAGAGACCTGGCCAGCAGCCCAGGCCTCTGAATGGGAATGGAACAGGTGACTCCTTGGTTCACAGGCTGATGCTCAATCCACTGAGCCACACCAGCCAGGACAGCCTTACTATTCTCATACCCCTGCATTTACTAGTTTGTGGCCTTGAAGTGTGAACACCTCTGGGACAACTGTAAGTGAAGCCATCTCTGATTAGGGCATAGAACTCCCACCTTCTTTACCATTTAGAGGTGCCCTTCCAAATATATTTTCTGTTGTTAGTTTAATAGCTACTTATCAAGTGTGTAATACATTTGTGTTATTTTCAACTTTCAGGATAAAATTATGGGGTGATATGGCATGGAAATACAATTTACAGGAGAAATGGGAATATAACATTTCCGAATGCTAAGAAGATTTTTTAAATGGGGATAATATTGGACACGAAATGTTATTTATGTTTTATTGGCTACATAAAGTATTTTTACATCTCTGACACCCATAAACTTATAAAGAAAAAATTCTCATTTAAAAATATGTAACGAAGTGGCTCGTGTGGCTCAGTGGATTGAGAGCTGACCTGCGAAGCCAGAGGATCGCTGGTTCAATGCCCAGTCAGGGCTCATGCCTGGGTTTCGGCCCAGGTACCCGGTTGAGGGTGTGCTAGAGGCAGCTGATCTGTGTGTCTCTCGCACATTGATCTTTCTCTCCCTCTCCTACTCATTCTCTTCCCCTCTCTCTAAAAAATAAATAAAATCTTTTAAAAAAATGTTTACCAAAGTATATCATTTTTCAAAATTCTTTTTGGAGCACAGGAGTAAAATGTGTCAAGACCAGTGGCTGAAGATATCCTCACCACCAACCACCTCAGCTCCTTCATCCAGTGCCGAGATCACATACCACGTTCTGCTCCTTGGATGCAGAGCCCTCCCACCCACTGCTACTTCCCGAGAGGCACACAGGGTCTCAGTCTTGATTAACACAGTGTCCTATTATAGCTGCCATGTGTCTGTCCTTCTACCAGATTTCAGGTGTCTGAAGGGAAGGCCTGCCTATTTCCCAACATCCCATCTTTAGCACACAGCACACAATAGGGAAGACTCATCAGTTTGGAGAATGACAACTCTAGTATCTAAAACATGTTCAACTTTCCTTCTGTACCCAACATATCAAATGTTTTGCAGTCTAACCCAGGAAAACAATCACCTTCTCATCTTAAGTTGGCTCAAGGCAAGGGCCAGGACGTGTCACCTCCCATCTAGCCTAACCATTCTCCATGCATCGCCTCTGTCCATGGACAAAAACTAGAAAACTGCTGGTTCTTCCCCACCTCCTAAGTTATTTAGGAGATGTGCAAGAGATGTTTGTGTACTGTACTGGACTCTGCCATGACCTTCATAAAAAGGGAGTGCAGACTAAATAAATACCCAAGGCCCCGTCGGTTTCTTATGTGAATGAAGTGATGAATTGAGCATATCACTATAAAACTCAAGGCATGTTCTTAGAGAGGATCAAAACAAAGTTTTCTAAAGGGAAATAAATATAAAGATCACGAGACTTCTCAGGTTTTTCCAGAAACAAAATACATTAACATACCCTCAACTGATCAAGCTTCTCACGGATCTGAATGAATCCCAAGTGCAATTTGCCCCCAAAGTGGTCTGCAAGACGACGGTCATTGTCGTGGAGACCAAGGTAGGCTGAGCAGACTTCACAGACACGCAACTTCTGCTGCTGAAAACTGGATGCAGGCATGGAATTTCTGTATTCTTCCTGGAGAAAGAGAATAGAGTGATAAAAGTGCCACCCAATATGGCACTTAGGACAACTCCAAAATGGAAATATCTGAAAGGACTATGGAAGTGACTTAACAATAAAAACTGGATCGTTTTCATAGCTTCAGATATTCTTAACCAATTCAATTTTCTCATTTACTTAAATGAACCAACAGCCCTCTCTGGGTAGCTCATTTGGTTAGAGCGTTGTCCCAATATGCCAAGGATGTGGGTTTGATCCCTAGTCAATGTGCATACAAGCATCAACCAATGAATACAAAAATAAGTAGAACAAAATGATGTTTCGCTCTTTTTCTCTCAAAATCAATTTTAAGAAATTAAAAAAAAAAGAAAGAAAGAAATGAACCAATAGTCAGTTCCAAAGCAACAAGGAAAATTCGAAACATTCAGAAAAGTAGGATGCTACCTGTTCTCAGAGGCTAGGAGTGAAGGCAGGTCTCTGCTAGGCACTGTGGGGAGCTCTATGAGAAGAGGGGCAAGAAAGGAGAATCTCCTGGCTGGTGTAGCTCAGTGGATTGAGTGCGAGCCGTGAACCTAAGGGTCGCCAGTTCAATTCCCAGTCAGGGCACATGCCTGGGCTGTGGGCCAGGTCCCCAGTGGGGGCCACATGAGAGGCAACTACACATTGATGTTTCTCTCCCTCTCTTTCTCCCTTCCTTCCCCTCTCTAAAAATAAATAAAATCTTTAAAAAAAGGGAGAATCTATAGAGACTTAAAAAAAAAAAAAACCCAAACAAAAAAATGAACAATGCACACAAAAATAAAGCAAATAAGCAAAAAAAACAAAAAAAAAAAAAAACACAACAAGAGCCACAGAATCTGTGTCCCAATATCTAGGAAACTATATCCCAGCTTAGGCTCAAAAGATAAAATTCGGAAGGACAAATACATTAGACACTCTCTTCAAGAAAGAAGTGTGTACAACAAAACGAAACTGAACACACTCCCTCCTACAGCCACTACAATCTGAGTTCAATCACAAGTAACTCACTCAGACTCAAAATACATGAGACACGAAAGAAAATAATAAACCATGACATGGTAACTGCTGCTTGTACCCAAGTTAAAATGAACTTTCAAAATCCAGGTTTAAGATATGCATTCCAATAGTCATTTATCCTTATTTAAAGGGAGACCTGAATGTAAGTAATCTATTAATTCACACATTCAAAACATTTCATAGGAAGTGCTAATTAAAATAAGATACTACATCACTCACTAAACTGGCAAAGATACAGAAAAACAGTCACTCTCATATGCTGCTGATAGAAGGAGCCTGAATTGGTACAACTAATGTGGAGTGCACTTTAGTGACCTACCTGTTAAAGTGGGACACGTTATGTGCCACTAAAAACTCCCCTTCCAAGTTTATGTCCTAGAACACTCTCACATGCCCCCTAGCAGACAAATGCAAGGACACTCACTGTACAACTATTTGTAAAGATGAGAAACCCCTGCCCTAACCAGGCTCAGTTGGCTGGGTGTTGTCCCACAAAGCAAAAGGTTGCTGGTTTGATGCCCAGTCATGGTACATGCCTAGGCTGTGGGTTCAGTCCCTGAAAGGGGCATGAACAAGAGGCAACAAATCAATGTTTCTCTCTCTCTCTCTTTCTCCATCCTGTCCCCTCTCTCTAAAAAATAAATAATTAAAAATAAAATTTATCACACACAAAAAAATAAGAAATCCCCAATAACCTACAAAACCACCAATGGACAATAATGTTCATAAAATGGAATGCTACAGAAATAAACTAAATGAACAAATCTAAAGGCAGTAACATGGAGAAATCTCACAAACAATGCTGAGTTAACAACCTAAGTGGGAGAAAGACACAGGTAGTGTGGGCAGAATTCATGTAGGATGTTTTGTTAAATCCTCACCCGAGGATCTGTTTATTGATTTTAGAGTGAGAGGATGGGAAAGAAACACCAATGGATTGCTTTCCATATGTGCCCTGACTGGGAATCGAACCTGCAATCTTTTGGTGTACGGGATGGTGTTCCAACCAACTGTGCCACCTGGCCAGGGCTATGTAGGACTTTTTTTAAATACACAAAACACCCACCCCCACAGACACACGCATGCAGTTTATGGGTAAACATGTGAAATAAGGTTTAAAGACAGAACTGAAAATTATGTTACATGCACACTAATGCCTGCCTCTGGAGAGAGAGGGAATTGTGACTAGAGAGGGAAACACTGAGAACTAGAATTTCCATTATAATGTACTGCATCTTTTATTAAAGGAAAAAACCTTAGGCAAAAATTATAAATACGGTGGCAACACAAATATTTGCGATATTATTCTTCCCCTTTCTGTAGTTCTGAATCTTTGAATGCCACCCTCTAATATTTCTCAAAATAAATTCTAATTATGCTGAGTGAAAAGCTGATCCCAAAATGGTTACACACTGTATGGTTCTATTTATACAACATTCTTGAAATGACCAAATAGAGACATAGAGTACAGATTAGTGGTTGCTACAGGCAAGGGAAGTAGGTGTGGCTATAAAGGGCAACAGGAGAGATCTGTGATAATGGACGTGCTATATCTTGATTCTATCAATGTCAACATCCCTTCTGTACTAGAGTTTTACAGCATCGGGGCAAATAGGGTAAAGGGTACACAGGATCTCTCTGTCCTATTTCTTAACCCTGCAACTAAGACAGAAAGGACCCCATAGGTGACACACCAACACAGACACCAGAAGTACTGAGACCTCACCCATGCCATCCTGTCTTGTGGGAGGTTTTATGAGGTGCTGCCTATTGGGAGCATTCACAGTGATGGGGACAGCAGCAGGGGCAAGAATGCTAGTAGTCCTGAGCATGAATAGCCATGTGTCCCACATACTGCTCCTGTCTCGGCTGTCTGCAGACATCTATGTGGAGAACTCCACATCCGCAATTACTTTAGCCTAAGTATAAACCTCTGAGCCATCAAAGGATTTAGTGTCTGCCTGGTTCTCTGAAGCAGGAAGAACTGGGCCTCAGGGTATGGTAAGAGGCCACAGACCATCTCTCCTGACTCTCTGGCCATTCTGGTAGAACGATCAGCAACCTGGGAAGCCTGAATTTGTGCTATATATGAACACAAATTTCCCATTTAAGTATAGAGGAAGTTAACTCCTACATAGGACTTACATAAATATGATTTAAGTTGGGTGTAAAATGCAGGTATGATGTAAGTCATCACCATGGCAACACCATTCAAGGTAGCTGATTTGCAAATATCAACCACAGCTGTCACATGACCCCAATTCGTCTTTTAGCGTGATCACATCTAAGCATTTACACACAAAAATATCAGATACATATTGTGAATCCTTTTGCCTCTTTTATGTTCAGGAATGGATTATAGAACTTCCGGGCAAGATGGAAGTGCAAGTAGACATGCTTTGCCTCTTCGCACAACTACAGAGAGAATCAGAACTAAACCTCAAAACAAATAGCACCCAGAACTGTCAGAAAATCCACCTATACGGAAGCCTGACAACGAAGGATTTAAAGAAGTCACATTCATGCAGATGGGCAGGAGGGGCAGAGATGGGCAGAGGTGAGGAGACACCCTGTGGCAGAGTTGGCCACAGCAAAATGGGCAGTCTCACACTCATGTATGGTGGATAAAAATCAGGAGGAGTACCTTGGGAGAGAGTGATCCCAGGCCAGACCCCAGAGCCCAGAGTTCCAGCACCAGGAAGACAAATCCCAGTAACTTCTGGATGTAAAAAACCAGTGGGGTTGGGGCAGTGGAAGAAATCACCTGATTTTCAGGAGACTCTACTTAAAGGGCCCACAAGGTCTTAGAACATATGCCCCCACTGGGATTCAGCACAAAGGCAAGAGCTGGGCAAACATCTAGAAGCCAAACAGTGGCACTGTCCCCTCTCCAAGCCCTCCCAGACAAAGCCACAAAGCAGTGAAGCAGATCGCCCCAACCTGGCAAATACCTAAGGCTCCACCACACACAATATACAGGTGCCTTTTCTACAATAGGCCACGTTACTAAGACAAGGAGTCAAAGCAGCTCTACCTAATACACAGAAACAAAAATACGGGGGCTGCCAAATTTAAGAGACAAAGAAATATGGCCCAAATGAAAGAACAGAACAAAACACCCCAAAATGATCTAAGCAGAACAGAGATAACCAACGTAACAGATGTAGAGTTCAAAACACTGGTGATCAGAATGCTCAGAGAACTCATTGAGTATGGCAACAACATAAAGAAAGAAATGTAAGTTATACTCAGTGAAATGCAGAAAAATCTACAGGGAACCAACACTGAAGGGGAGGAAGCAGGGATTCAAATCAACGATTTGGAACATAAGGAATGAGTAAGTATTCAACCACAACAGCAAGAAAAAACAAGAACTCAAAAAAAAAAAAAAAAAAAGAGGATAGTATTAATAAGCCTCTGGGACATCTCCTATTTGAAAAAATAATGAAAGAAAATTTCCGGGGACTTCCGGCAAGATGGAGGAATAGGTGGACGCACCGTACCTCCTCGCACAACCAAGATTAGAACAACAATAAAATACAGTCAGCATAACACCCAGAACCGACAGGGGATTCATCTGAATGGAAGTCGGACAGCCAAGAAGTTGAAGTAGACCCGTACATCCAGACTGGTAGGAGACAACGAGCCGAGCGGGCGCGGGGCTGGCGCGGGTCGGCAGCGCACGGAGGTGGGGGGAAATTTGGCGCGGAATTGGCGCGACAGCCATCGGGGCGCAGGAACGCAGCGGTGGACCCTGAGTAAGCAAGCTGCGGCTGCCGGACCCAGTGGGGCAGCGATTGTGGACCAGGGCAGAGCTCGCAGCCCAGGAGCCCCGGGAAAGGTCTGGGCCCAGGAGAATTGAACTGCCACCATTGATTCCCTCCGCCCCGCCCCGCCCCCCACCCCCCCACATATAACGTCACAATCTAGCGACGGGGCGCCCAGCCCCGGTGAACACCTAAGGCTCCGCCCCCCACCTTAACAAGAGCGACCAGTGGGGGGGAAGGAGAGACAGGGAAAGACATAAGACATGTGTGCAACAGAGCAGATCAGTCCCCCCAGGACTCATCCTTTTGAGTGACCAAGAAATAGCCAATCTATCAGATGCACAGTTCAAAACGCTGGTGATTAGAAAGCTCACGGAATTGGTTGATTTTGGGCGCAATTTAGATGAAAGGATGCAGGTTACCATAAAAGAAATGCAGGAAGATACGCGGAGGAGAGCCAATAGAGAAAGGAAGGAATCTGAGTCTCAAAACAATACAGTGGACCAGAAGGAAGATAGAATCAACCAAGCAGGAAAGCATGATGAAATAAGAATTAAAAAAAATCGAGGAGAGCCTTGGGAACATCCAGGACACCTTTAAACGTTCCAACATTCGAATTATAGGGGGTACCAGAAGGGGAGGAGCAACAAGTGGAAAAGTTATTTGAACAAATAATAAAGGAGAACTTCCCCAATCTGGCAAAGGAAACAGTCTTCCAAGAAATCCAAGAAGCTCAGAGAGCCCCAAAGAAGTTGGACCCAAGAAGAAACACACCAAGGCACATCATAATTACATTAGCCAAGGTAAAAACGAAGGAGAGAATCCTAGAAGCAGCAAGAGATAAGGGGACAGTAACCTACAAAGGAGTTCCCATCAGACTGTCAGCTGATTTCTCCAAAGAGACCTTACAGGCAAGAAGGGGCTGGAAAGAAATATTCCAAGTCATGAAAGACAAGGACCTACATCCCAGATTGCTCTATCCAGCAAAGCTGTCATTTAGAATGGAAGGGAAGATAAAGTGCTTTTCAGATAAGGTCAAATTAAAGGAGTTCATCATCACCAAGCCTTTATTTTATGAAATGCTAAAGGGACTTATCTAAGAAAAGAAGATAAAGAAAAGACATGTATAGTAAAAGGACAGCAAACTCACAATTATCAACAATTACACCTAAAGCAAAACCAAAAGAAACTAAGTAAACAACTAGAACAGGAACAGAACCACAGAAATGGAGGGCACATGGAGGGCTAGCAACAGGGGGGGGTGGGAGGAGGGGGAGGGGGGGAAAGGTATAGAGAATAAGTAGCATAGAATGTAGGTTGAAAATAGATAGGGGGAGGGCAAGAATAGTACGGGAAAGGTAGAAGCTAAAGAACTCATAAGAATTGCACATGGAAGTGAACTAAAGGGGGGGGAACGTGGGTGGGAGAGGGGGTACAGGGTGGAGGGGAGGGAAGGGGGGAAAAGGGACAAATGTAATAGCATAATCAATAAATTAAAAAAAAAGAAAAGAAAAAGAAAATTTCCCTAATTTGGTGAAGGAAATAGTCAAAGAAGTCTAGGAAGCACAGAGAGTCCTAAAAAAGATGGATGCAAAGAGGACCACACCAAGACTTATCATAATTAAAATGCCAAAGGTTAAAGATAAAGTGAGAATTTTAAAAGCAGCAAGAAAAAAGCAGTTAGTTATCTACAGGGGAATTCCCATTAAGACTTTCAGCTGATTTCTCAGAAGAAACTTGGCAGGCTAGAAGGGATTGGTAATAAATATTCAAAGTCATAAAAAGCAGGGACCTATAGCCAAGGTTGCTCTACCTAGCAAAGCTATCATTAGAATGAAAGGGCAGATAAAGAGCTTCACAGACAAAAAAAAAACTAAAGGACTTCATCATCACCAAACCATTATTATATGAAACGTTAAACAAACTTATTTAAGAAAAAGATCAAAACTATGAATGTTAAAATGACAACAAACTCAACTATCGACAACTGAATCTAAAAGACAGAAACAAACTAAGCAAACAACTAAAACAGGAGCAGAACCAAAGATATGGAGATCATGTGGAGGGTTATCAGCTAGGAAGGGGAAGAGGGAGAAGGGAGGAAAGGGTACAGGAATGAAAAAGCAACACTGGTAGATACAAAGAAAGAAAGGGGGATGTTAAGAATAGTATAGGAAATGGCGCTGGCTGGGGTGGCTCAGTGGATTGAGCATCGGTCTACAAACTGAAAGGCTGTAGTCAGGGCACATGACTGGGTTATGGGCCAGGTCCCCACTTGGAGGTATGCAAGAGGCAACCAGTCAATGCTTCTCTCCTTCTCTTTCTCCCTCCTTCCCCTCTCCCCAAACATAAATAAATAAAATCTTAAAAAAAAAAAAAAAAAGAATAGTATAGGAAATGGAGAACCCAAAGAACTTATTATATACATGACCCATGGACATGAACTAAGGTGGCGGGGAGAAATGCTGGAGGGAAGGGGATACTGGACAGAGGAAGGCAAAGGGGGAAAAATTGGGACAACTATAATAGCATAATCAATTTATATATATATAAAGTACCTCTATACATACATACATATATAAACAACATAACCAATTTATACATATAAATTGCCTTTATATATAAATAAAGTAGGTTTTAGCCCTAGTTGGTTTGGTTCAGTGAATTGAGTGCTGGCCTGCAAACCAAATGGTGGCCAGCTGGATTCCCACTCAGGGCACACGCCTGGGTTGTGGGCCAGGTCCCCAGTTTGGGGGCATGCAAAAGGCAACCAAATGTTGCTGCCACACACCAATGTTTCTCCCCTTCTCTTTCTCCCTCCCTTCCCTTCTCTCTAAAAAATAATTTTTCCCCCCCAAAATTTTATTTATTTATTTTTAGAAAGAGGGGAAGGGAAGGAGAAGAGGGAAAGAAACATCAGTGTGTGGTTGCCTCTTGCATGCCCCCTATTGGAGACTTGGCCTGCAACCCAGGCATGTGCCCTGACTGGGAATCAAACCTGCGACACTTTGGTTCACAGCCCACGCTCAATCCACTGAGCTACACCAGCCAGGGCAAAATAAATAAAAATTTTTAAAAAGGGAATTGATTATACTATCTACAAGTATCACTTACGAAGGTGTTGGTCTGCCACCCACATGAAGCATTATTTCAGCACCACCTTCTAACAAACACTGGTGACTTCAATTCCAGACTGTACTGGGGTATCCCAGAAAGTAGTCCTGACAGCTCCATCGTGAATAACCCTATTGCTCTGTCCCTTCAACTTGTCACCATCTCAGGAGGCACTGCTCTAACACCCATGGGCCCTTGGCACTATGCTATTATGTATGCCATGCTGAACCAGGGGTACAGTGATAAAACCAGACCTGTACCAGGGCACCTACATGCCATCTCATCTCTACCTGAACCCCCTGTCCCCACCACTTTGATAAACTTCTGAGTCTATGGATCTCAGCTAAGTAGCCTTCAGGATCACCTTACCCTACCTAGAGATGCCTTGCAGCTCAAAGTCACTGTCAAACCCAGACACCATTTATTTTAAGCATCTATCTCCATCTGAATGAATCTTACCCAACTGTTCGTATTCCTTTCTGTCTGTGCCCTGATCCCCTTCCATTGCCATCTCCCTGAAGAAAGAACCTCTTTTGGCTTACTCACAACTAGAAAAATGCCTGGCACTAAGCTGGAGCTTGGCAAGCACTTACTAAAGGAATGCATCTTATCCTCCCTCAGGCTCTTCCATTCTTGAGCCATTTTCAATTCTACTGGTGAGGATTCAAGAACCACAGGATATCCAACAGATACAATAACCCATGAAGAAATGGTTGTCAGTAATAGAAACACTGAGCCCTCTTGACCTGTTCCACTACCACACTACTAATGTGTCCTGGGCAGGAATCCAGGCCGATACCACTTGGATCTATCCCACCGGCACAGGATCTCTCTACTGAAGATACAGTGTCACTCCAAACACCCAGTAAAACTGGTCTCTGGGACCTTTTGACAGGATGTGCTCACTAGCACTACTTCACTGGCTCAGTACTCAGGACTGTACTCCACACGTGGGAATTATGCTCAGAGCTGGCAAGTGACTCATCTTAGGCAGTGAAGAGAAACCCAAGTGTGCACTGAGATCCTGTCAATAGATCATCTTTTTTTACTCCTTCCTAATACCAAGAAACAGAGGCATAGTTTAATTTCAACCCAGATAGTTATCTCTCTGGAGTTATTGTTTTCTCTTTCTCTAAGACATTTTTCTCACTAACCTCAGCTTCTTTTTTCTTTGCGCGGACTTTCTCCACTTCCATAAGAATTTTCTGGGATTCATCCACATTTCCTTCTGCTCCCAGCTGCTCAGCTTTGGCAAGAAGTTTTCCTATTTCTTCATTTAACTCATGTACTTTTTCTGCCTGAGGGAAGGAAAAAAATCAGGTAAGTAGACATCTAAAAACAAAAGATTTTTAATACAATGAAAATGAATGTTCTCTCACTGCACTAAAAATAAAGTCTACTCCACCAAAAGGAAACAGTCGAAGATCCTCAGTAGATCACATATGAATTTTGGTAATTATGACATTCTTATTGCCAACACTGAGACTCTGACCATAAAATAAACCTATGCACTCCATCCCAATAAAAGTAGCACCATCTCTCTTACTTCCAATATGGTTACGAGAATTAAAACATTGGTCACATTATAGGCTGCCTCTTTTTATGCCTTCTATCACAGTTTGAGCTTTCAGGTAAGGGTAATAAAATATCTAGGTTGAAATACACAAACTTAAACTGTAAGCAAAACGCCTAATTATTTGTATTTACTTTCTGAAATAAAATAGCACATTTGATGCAGTTAGCAACTGCAATTGCTTTTACAAAACTGAAAGGAAAAAAACAAGGATCAGATTCAGTTCCACTGAATAGGAGGAACAGAAGCATAATGCAGCTGACACTCAGGCCAATTATATACAGATCTACCTTCGTTCCGTGATACAGATGTACCAGTCCAACCATTTATCCACTTGCCCCATTTCCTGTTTTATGTGGGATGTTTAAAAAAAAAAAAACAAAGCTTTAAAAAAACACATATATATCCGGAGCAGGGAAACAGAAGCAGTAGCTGTTGGGGGCTGAAATCTCCCTGACAGCCTCCTTCCTTACACCCAAGGTGGCGAGTACAATCCACCCGAAAGATGCACTATCAGTGCTGATGGTGAGCTGTTAGCCTGTTAGTAGCCCAGTTCTAACCAGTGATTTGTACCAATAACTCAAGGCAAAAGCCTCCCAGGTATATACCTTTGCAGAAACTTCTGCACTGATCTCTTCCTGTGTCTCTGCCAGCCGCTTCTTGGCAAGCTCAGTTCTCCGATCACACTCAGCGATAAAGGACTCCAAGTGATCCATTGCCTAGCTCAGCAGAAGCAGAGAACAAGAATCAATTACATGTATGATCTCAGAACCCAACTGTTCGACAGGAAAATATTCCTGGGTTGGTTTCTTAAAGCCTGTAGGTTCAGTGGGAAGATTTTACACTACATTCCAGCCAACACATCCGTAATCACATTAAATCAAGGGGTTTTGTTAAAACAAATGATCACTCAGAAGTATGGTCTTCTCATCTATTTATTTATTTCCAAAATTTGTAAAAGGACCCCCATCCCTCAATAACGTTTCCAAGAAAACACTGAGGAAAATTACAACACTTGGCCATAATGAATATAGTGTTCTCTGAGGGACAGAAAAGGCTGGCCTGAGACTGTTGTTAGAGCCCTCCTCTGGTGAGCTGTGGGAAATGCAGATGATGTACTCACTGGTCTTTGTGAGCCACGCAAATATTACCCCTCATGTTCTGAGGGTAGAGCTCCCCCTTCCACCTCAAAACAAAACAATAGAACAAATATTACTGAGAGCTGTGAATAAGTTTAGTTATTGCCTACTGTCTAAAGTAGCAGGAAAATTGGTATACTACTTACCCAAAGAGATAAAGGAAAAGAAACTCTAAAAATCTAATTGCTTATTCTGAAGAGTTGGTGGGAAACAATAAAATACTAATTAGCAAGATGTCACATATGCTAAGCAGTTACGGTGCCATACTAATCCAAGGCCCCAACATAACTTCACATACATACAAAGAGCAAACCACTTGTCCAATTTTCAGGCTACAACCAATGATAAGCAGCACCTCCTAAGTTACATCCACAAAGCATCCTGCTTATGTTGGCAGCATGTTAAATGTGAAAGCAAGTGAATCTAACCATGGATGACAGGGTCAGACAGTATGATCACTAAAAAAAAAAGAAAAAGAAAAAAATATATATATAGGGAAAGAAAATTTGGGGCAAAGATGAAAACAAGGCAGATGAAAGTTAGGTCAACAGACCAAGTGGTGGTAATCTATACCCCTCCCCCCAAAGATGGCAGGAGCAGGTCAGCTGTGAAGAAAGTACGCCACAAGAATCAGTTGACACTGGAATGGCCAGTAGGTAGGATCTCTAGAGAGGGTTATGGTCTCCTCCAGAAATTTAAACACTCTCTTCAAGTAAATACAATTCTTGAAAATAGGTCAAGACAGGAAAGAGGCTCTATGACGATGCCAAGTCCCCCAGGACACATCATCAGTCACTGAGGCCAACCCTCAGATTAAATCACGGGGCTTTTGATTTTGGAACTCGGGATCTCTTTCCTGTTGTTGGTCATCCAAATATTCTCTATCAGAATATTTCACTATGTTCAAATCATCAACAATCAGGAAAGCAAATGACTGGCATTTGTTTGCCTACACACACTGTCTTTCCTGGGAAAATGTGGAGTTCCGACTCACCAAGATCAAAGTGCCCATGAGCTGATATGGTTCACGCACCACCTGTGCTCACCTAGGACAAAAGCTTCTAAGAGAATGACCTGAGGTGCCCCAGGTTCACTACAGACAGGCACTGAGACTTGCTGCAGAGCCCTTCCAATGTCTACACAAATGAGCCAGCTCACTCACACCTGAGACAGACCCAGGGATCCACCCACTAGGGACTGAATGGGGAACAGACATCTGACAACACTGCCAGTGTCTTTACCAATCAGAGAAACCACTTTACCTTAAGCAGAATCCAAACTGGCTCAGCAGGGTCAAGAATCAGAATCAGACATCTAATAAGCTATAAACTAAATGGTAAACTCCACAAAATAGAGTAAGCAGACCACAGAGACGTCTTTTAACTGGCAGGTTCTTTAAAAGATGACTCTGTTCTATTACTCACCCTCTCTTCAATGAGATTCTCAATTTCAGAGTGATTCCTAATCAAAGAGCAGGTCTAGTTGACTTTTTAAAAAAGGTACTTGAGTCTAAAACTTACGTGCTAATTACAACCTACAACTTACTAGAACGTCATTCAACTTCTCTTATTCAAGGATGATGAAACGAAACACAAACTACGAAGGGTACTTGAGCACAGCACTTTGACAAAATAGGCACACAGGTCTCACTGCTGCTGCAGGGGGCTGTCCTTTCATACACACAAGATTGTGTGTGCAGTTCCTGACTCCACTTACCCAGCAGCAATGACACCGGCCAGCAATCTGTAAGCCTGAGACAAAACCACATTATCAGAATGGTCACAGCAAACACATGCCCCTGTGCACTGTTGCCCGTTCCACATTCCTCAAAATAGCCACGCAGTGACTCATTTTCCAGGTGAAGAAACTGAGATAGTTTCCCAACTACTAAGTGATGGTATTAGGATGCAACAAGGACCCCTGTGGTTTGTCTCCCTATACCTTAGTCATCACAATTCAGAGGCTGTTAGGACCAACGCAGTTTCTATTAATAAAAACAGGTGAGCTCTGGCTGGTGTGGCTCAGTGGACTAAGTGCCGGCCTGCAAACCAAAAGGTCTCCAGTTTGATTCCCAGTCAGGGCACATGCCTGGGTTGTGGGCCAGATCCCCAGTTTGGGGCATGTAAGAACCAACCAATTATTGTTTCTCTCACACATTGGTTTCTCTCCCTCTCTTTCTCCCTCCCTTCTAGAAATGAATAAATAAAATAAAATTAAAAAAACCCAGGTGAAATAACTTGTCCCAGGTCACACAGGGATTGACTTATAAAATATAAAATATATCTATTACACTGTACATCTGGAGGACAGAAAAAGTAGGCACAGTTAGAAGCGGTCACTACTGGCATATTCAAGTTCGGAAATTACCGTGTTTTTCGGACCATAACACGCACCTTGGTTTTAGAAGAAAATGGGAAAAAATTTTGAAGCAAAAAATGTGATAAAATATTTAATAACATAAATAACATAATATTTCACCAATGTAAATGTAAACAGAACTCAACAGCAGCATTAACAACCATTATTCCTCCCAAATTTGGGGGTGGGGAGGAGTACGTTTTATAGTTTGAAAAATACGGTAGTTGATGTGGTGTATTGTTCTAGAAACCTGTCAAATAAAACATCACAGAGCAAGACAAGAAGGTTAATTGTATTTCCACTAAATTAAAGAGAAACTAAATTACTTCACTAAATTATTTACATCTTCAACATGTAAACACTAAAGAAATATACTGCTTTGTAACTTTTCCACAGGTTAAACTAATGAGTTAACGTTACTATTTGCCAGTGTTCAAGTTGAGAAACTTGAAAATGTATTTACACACAGATCACCTAACACTTACACACAGATCACCTAACACTAAGTATAACACATACCCTTTTTCAGGGACTTCCTAGACAAAATGCTCAAAAAATCAAGGCCTGGATGCTTAGGCTGAGAGCACATTAGGCTGGAGAAGCTAATGTGAACACTGGGAGGCACCCTATCCCAGATAACACACCTGAGTTTTAGGTGGCTCCTGGGGGGAAAGGTGCCCGAAGTGCTGCCCATCAAGCTCAAACTGAGGGTACAAGCAGGGAATACACCCACAAAGAAATATCTTTATGACAACTCTGTCAGGCCCACAAAGAAATACGTTTTTATACCTTTTGGGTCTCTGCTGGTGAAGACCCAAAGTTTGGCAATTTTGTTAGCAAAGATGTAAAAATTCAATTCTCATGGGTGGGAGCATTCGCTAAGGCACTATCAACATGGCAAACACACACCGTTCTGATCTAACAGTTTCGCTTCTAAAATCTTCCCAGATACATGCATGGCGTGCCAAAGTATAATGCAATGCACACCGTGATTATCACAAAAGGTAGATACCTATCCTCTTTGGAATACCATGTATTCACAAAAAGGAATAAGGAAACTCCAACCAACAGGGAATAATCTCAAAGATACATTGAAAAGTTACCAAAAAGGAGGGGCAAGTATAGAGAAAGTGTGGACTACACTACTGTTTTATGTTTTAAAAAAAGGAATATAGCCCCAGCTGGTGTGGCTCAGTGGACCGAGCACCAACCTGCAGTCTAAAAGGCTGCCAGTTCTAAGTCAGGACACATGCCTGGGTTGTGGACCAGACCCCAAGCTGGGGGCGTGCAAAAGGCAACCAAGTGATGTTTCTCTCAGACATCAATGTTTCCCTCCTTTATCAATGCTTCTTTCCCTTCTCCCACCAAAAATAAATTAAAAAAATTGTTTTTAAGGAAAATAGATATAGTTTCCCCTCAGATATCTATATAAACTCTAGTAAACTGAAGAAACGTTAACAACTGGTCACCTCTGGCAGCTACCTGGTGGTTGAAGAACACAGCAGGAGACAGCTTTCACAACATACCTTTATAGCTTTTAAATTTTGAACCATGTGAATGTTTTAAATTAGTAAGAGATGCTACAACCCTAGTGAAATAACTGATCCAAGGCAATAATCCTCCACTGCTGTTTAAAGCATTAGGCCAAAGGCTAACTAGGACATTTACAACCAACAGTTCAAGCTGCCTGCAACACCTAAGCCCATTAATCAAAGTACCATTCAAGGTGCTGCAACAGGAAGTGCACAGCTCTGCCCTTGAAGTTTCTTGGCCAAAGAAGAACTGGTAAATCTGATGACCAAGCTTCCAGATCTAATTCCTAGGTTATAGAGAATTTCAAAAATGAGGGAAAACATGTTTAAAAAGATATCCTGAAGATACAATCAGCAAAATTCTAGATATGACTTAAAAATTATGTTTGAATACATTTAAAAAGACTGACAAAGCATTCTAATGTGTGGCCTTTATTTTGGATCCTGAGTCAAACAAATAACTGTAAAAAAACCACTCCTTTTTGAATCAACCTCAGATATTTGAACACTGCCTACGAAATGTTAAACTACAATTATTGTAAATAAAGTTATTATCTTCTAAATGTACTATCTGCAGTATTTACAGATGAAATTCTATGTCTAGGAGCCAGTATAAAATAATCCAGTGGGGCCCTGGCTGGTGTGGCTCAGTGGACTGACTGCCAGCCAGCAAACCAAAAGGTCACCAGT